GGGGGGTATTGTTTATCTCATTAAGTCTTCTTTGTGGCATCATGCATTCTGGGTATAGCGCGCAGTGAAAGTTATACGAACGTATGATTTTCGTAGGCGCTTGAGCTAGAAGCTTCTGTGAATTGTTCCTGAGCCGCTGCTTTCTGCCAGCCTCATTCTGCCGTTTTCGATGCGTTGATTTTCAGACCCTAATTTCTCGCTGCCTCCACCGAACCATTTATAAATCCGCCGAGTAGTTGATACGGGCTTTATCCATTGCAACATTTAGGTGATGCATTTCCTGAACCCTGTGGTACACAACCCGTTTAATTTTAATTTTAGTTGGTATATGTTTATGTAAGATGTAAGGAAATAAAAAAAGGGGAATGTGAATAAGCTAAGTACTGGAAAATTTAGAATGGTACTAAGTTGCTGACGAAAATAATGAAGTTAAGCAGTTTTTAAAGGTCAAAGCAAAACGGAGTAGGGCGTTTCTTATGACCACATGTGTAATTTGGTCGTAGTGTAGACCACGAAGGAAAACAGTCGAATTTTAATATGTGGTCAAACTCCAAAAAAAAGGCATTTAGGTGTCTTAGGTATGCAAACCGGTATTTAGAGTTGGCGACGTTTGTGTTTCGTCCCTGAACTATAGACACAGACGGCTGAGTCGGTGCGAAATGGGGTGGGATTCATCAGTACAGTACCCCATAATCTGAATGGGAATGTTTCGGTCCATTAAGTCGCATACATTCCTATTCAGTGCTGCAACTGTGGACCTCGTCAATGTGACGGTTGCAACGAAAGTAGCATGCGTTTAACATCCCCTCAAAACAGAGTGCTTTGAGTTTTTTTAGTGTTTGAGTTGCAGAGTTGTTCTTTGATGGGGTTATGCTGATGTGTTGAGTGAATGCAACGACGATGAGTTGTTGGAGTTTTGCCGAGGATGTGGATCGGAAGAAGGAGCAGATCAGCAGCGTGCTGGCCTACGTCATCAAAAATGGGCCCTCAATGGCACCGGAGGAGCTCATCCTGTCAATCCATACGGTCTGCAGCAAATTGAGTAAGTTTTTGGCACAAAAAACAAATGGCAACGCGCACCAGACTAGCCGGTGCGATCATGCGTTTTGTGCAATTCAGCCTATCGAACGACTGCCTATTAATGATTTTCACTGCTTTGTGCTTTTGTCTAGGTAAAAATAGTTCAAACACACGATTGCCTGTTAATGATTTTCACTGCTTTGTACTTTAGTCTATGCAAAAATAGTACAAACATTGGACTGCCTGTTAATGATTTTCACTGCTTTGTACTTTAGTCTACGCAAAAATCGTTCAAACATTGAAAAATGGTTACCTGTTAATGATTTTCACTGCTTCGTACTTCAGTCTATGCAAAAATAGTTCAAACATTGGAAAACATTTAAAAATTTCACGCACCTGCGCATGAAAGCTGAATTCGAAACCTTGAAGGATGAATATCTTTCCGTGATTCCCGAGTTAATAGTTTACCAGCCAAAATTTTCACGAAACCGTAGGTGGTACCCGAGAGCGCGAGATCGCTTTGAATGGGCAAGGTTGAGCGTAGGCAGGAGGTCATTGCCCTCAAATTTCAGCCTCCTAGACTCCGTGGTTCCCGAGATACTAACTTACCCGTGAAAAACTTTCATGGGGCCGTACGTGTTACCCGCGGGTAAGGAAAGGCTGAATTTGAATGGGGAAGGTTGAGCGTGGGCAGGGGGTCATTACCGTAAAATTTCAGCCTCCTAGACTCCATGGCTCCCGAGATATTAACTTACCCGTAAAAAAATTTCACAGGGCCGTACGCGTTACCCGCGGGTACAGGGAAGCTAAATTTAAACTTGTGGGGTCACACGTGGGTGGGGAACATTCCCCTAAATTTTCAGCTTCCTAGCTTTTGTGGTTCTCGAGTTGAAAGTGCGGACAAGTTGCTGCGGATAC